TGAACTGGAACCAAATATTTCTTAACTTAGCCATCTACACAGTCACCCCCACACAGATTGGCAGACAGAGCCGGAAAGAAGAAAGGAGAAGCAGCAGGAAGAGGGAGGCAAGGAACCTCCTAAAGTTCTGTGACACAGGGAAAATTGTGACACTGAGACCGTGAGACGCCTGGAAGGGGCCCTTCGGCAGAGCCGGCAGTGACGGGCCTACAAGGGGTCTGGTAGAGTCAGTGGTGATGGCAGAAGCCTACTGCCAGGAATGCAGCTAAGAGAGCAGAACAAAACTGCTGGGTCCCTTAGCTGCAGAGAGCCTGAGGGCAGAGGCCTGAAGGAAGAGAGGGTCCAGGGGACAACTGCAAAGGCATGTGGATGGCACAGAGGAGGGCCTGCTTGTTGCATGACCAAGAAGAGCTGAGAAATGTCCTGCCCTGAAAAGGGGAGACAGTATTCTTCTCCTGGAGGAAGCCTCCAGACAGTGTGCATGAATCCCATCCTGAGCGGTACCCTATTACTCGCACAATAAAGCACGTAACTGTGAGCTCTGTGTTGCTATTTCGAAGGAGCACCATCAAGCCCAACAGAGCAGAGTGTGCCATGGGAAGGGTTGGCAGATGTCATCTTTTCAGAAAAGTTGGAGAGTGGAGGTATATTTGACTTCTTCCACCTTATGGGAATCCACTTTGAGCTGATCCTGGTCATTATCAACCCTGAAGTTAGTCAAGGTTTTAATCCCACCATTTTACAAGTACCTAGAAATTTGAACCAGCTTTAATTTCTTACTGCTTACCTCATTAATTAATGAGGTAAATAAAATTTAGGGCACGTGCTTATTAAATTAAGAAAAACTGGGAGAGGGAATTCTTAAAAAGTCTGAAGATGTCCTGTGAGCCATTTCCACTTTTTATTCCAAATACAGTATAAAAACCCAAGGAATGTATTTCATATAACATAGGCCGAATCTGACACTTTTCATTACACTGAGATACAGTTTTAAAAGGGTAATATTAAACCCCACAGTTGCGGGATAAACACATGGGTGCATAAGGAAAGGAAAGCAAGGTTATGACTATTGCACAATGACCACACAGCGTGGGGACCACTTGGAAGCAGTGGTACACTAGAGGACAGGGGTGAGGGAGGGGCACAGGCGTGGCTTCAGGGTATTGGGACTGTTCTGCTCTTTGATCCAAGTGGTAGTTAACATGGGTGTTTACTGAACTATTAAAACTAGTGACATTTTAATGTACGTTATGTATGTATAGCAGACTTCTTCCTAAAGTTTCTGAGAATATGAAATTTTCATTTTATTTTTATTTATTTATTTTTGAAATTTTTAAATAATAGATTTTTTAAAGCGCCTAGTATGTTATACTTCAGTTTAAAATAGACACAAAAAACACCAATATTTAATGACAAATATTTCCATATTGGGGAGGAGAGGTGCGATGCGATGTAGCAACGATGAAAAATACAACTTTCCTCCAGAGTTCCTAAATGCTTCCTCCTCCCCACCCCCCCACTATCATGACCCCAATTCTACCTTACAAATCCGGCTAGACCAGAGGATGTACATTGGTACAGATAGCAACTGGAAACAGGGAATCCAGGGCGGATGATCCCTTCAGGACCAGTGGTGTGAGCAGCGATACTGGGAGGGTGGATTGGAAAGGGGGAACCGATTACAAGGATCTACATGTGACCTCCTCCCTGGGGGAAAGACAACAGAAAAGTGGGTGAAGGGAGACGTCGGACAGGGCAAGATATGACAAAATAATAATTTATAAATTATCAAGGGTTCATGAGGGAAGGAAGGAGGAGGGAGGGAAAAAATGAGGAGATGATGCCAGGGGCTTAAGTGGAGAGCAAATGTTTTGAGAATGATGAAGGCAATGAATGTACAAATGTGCTTTACACAATTGATATATGTATGGATTGTGATAAGTTGTATACGCCCCTAATAAAATGATTAAGAAAAAAAATAAAACAGCAAATGTTTTGAAACTGATTTTGTAAGCAACTGTACAAAACTTGAATTATGGAATGACATTTCTATTAGCTCCAATAAAATGGTTTTTCTTGGAAAAATGGTTTAAAATTTGTCACCCACCTGTGAGAATAAAATGTTTTATCAATAAAAAATAAAATAAAAAAAAATTCCAGTAAGAAATACTTGACTGCTTAAATTACAATTTATTTTAAATAACTATTTTTAGTTTAAAAAAGGCCTAAATTCAACAAAACCCAAAGTTTAGCCTATAGATAAAGCATACAATCTATCTGGCTTAGAACAAGGGTCACGAACTCAAATGCTTACAGGGACCTGATAGGAAACAAGCGGCAGGCAGGTTTCCCACTAAGCTGGAGGGCAAGCCACTCTTGAAAAAGAACAGCACTCACTTGCTTCTACCTAACGCCGCCACGTGGGAATGCAGGCGTCTTTCTACAGGCCCGAAAGTGAAGACTATATATCATCTCCCAGGCTCAAAACACTCGCACCTTTGTCAAAGTTCACCAAGAAAAATATGTCTATGGGCCACACTCAAGACTGAGGGCTTTCTATCTTCTTAAAGACTTCTGTTTTCTATGAAAATAATAACAATTTATAAATTATCAAGGGCTCCTGAGGGAGGGGTGGGAATGAGCTGATACCAAGGGCTCAAGTAGAAAGAAAGTGTTTTCTATCTGCTTCAATGTCTACCTTATTCCCTCACTCATAAGTGCCAGAAACTAGGGGTACAAAGCTGTTTATATCCAGTAGGTATTTACTAAACACACAACCTGCTCCTTCCCACACTCCCATCTCCAAAAATGGTAAACAAACAAAACAAAAAAACCCTGGGAAACATCTTTGATTCTTCAGGATATTGCCTGCTCGACCATCCAAATATTTCTTGAATCCAACTACTTCCCATCACTTCACCACTACCATCATGGTCTCTGGTCTAATTCCAAACTGACCTCCCTTCTACTCACTCTCCACACACCCCAGCCCGAGTGAGCCTTTTAAAACCTCAATCAGCCGGCTCATGCCTCGCACAAACCCTCCAGTAGCTTGTGAAAGCTCTACGTGCTCTTGCCTACAGTCTGATTCTCACTGGCTTGAAGAACAGAATCTGTGCTAGGCACACCTGTCTTGTCGTACACGTCCTTCATTTCCTCAATGTCGTCTGGCGACTTGGCTTCTTAAGAATACCTAGACTAGTTTGAAAACCAAAGGCAGTATCAACGGGTACAGGCACTCTGAAAAATAATTTGGGTAAAAACAAGTGTCCCGTTCCATAACCCATTTCTTGGTTATCATCCTAGAAGTACATTTACACAGGTACACAAAACGCAGGTACCGGGTACCCATGGCAGCCTTGTTTTCAAAAGCAAAAATGGAAAATAACCTAAATGTCCCCCCAAAAAGGAAATGGCCTACGAAATTAACTGAGAATGAATTCAAGTTATGATGAACTGCATATATGACCATTTTTGTGGGTTATTTTATATTTTTACATCATATTGTTAGTAATATGTTGAGTGTGTAATTTGCTGATGTTGTCATTCTCATATGCTCACTCACAGATGTTCAATTTTATGATTCACTGTTGGAAACACTGTTGGATTTATAAAGAAACTGGTACTAAAGACAGTAATAATGAAAGCTAAAAAGAAATTAAAAATGAGGCACTTGACTTACGCTAGATTGACTTACTACAATACAAAATCATCGGTATGGAACCCTGCCATTCATAAAGTCATTATGCAATAGTTAAAAGGAGTAAATTATTTATTTAAGTAGATCCAAGGAAACTGGGATTTTTCCAGAGCTGGAACAGCAGGAAATGGGGCTAGGCAGTGAGCCCATTCCCACCCACCCACATCTTCAGAGTGTGGGCTCTGAAATCAAACAGTTACAGGTTCAAATTGCTGCTCTGCTAGTTACTTGCCAAGTCACAATACACAGATTATTTAATTTTCTAAGACTCAGTTTCTACAAATGCAAAATGTAGCTGGATAAGTAACTTCCGTTTAAGGAAGTCAGGGGCCCTATCAAATGTAAGGGCCTGTCACCCAGCAAGCCCTTGATATATGGTTCTTCCGGGTCCTCTGTCCTGAGGTTGCCACAAGACTCACAGTTCTGCTAGCTCCCCCTGCAATCGGACAGGCCTACTTTTTCTGGCTGGACATCCAGGGAGGAACAGAATGGGATTGGGGAGAAGGGATGGGGGTGGCAGCACTGCACACAAGCAAGGCTGGGGTCTGAAACCTTTTCTGGGTACATAGCTTGTACTCAGCTGATAAAAGTTAGCAGTGTGAACTCACCGAGGAGCACAGCAGAAGAAAAAGGCTGGCAACCTGCTTCCATAAACACTACAGTATCAAGCAATTTTGTTCTGTAACACGAGACCTCCAAAATTACAAAGCAACGCAAAAAAAAAAAAAAAAAATCAACAATCGCACTATTTTAGTGGACCAAACCCAAACTTGCTGTTATTAAGTCAATTCTGAGTCAAAGAGAGCCTACAGAACAGAGTAGAATTGGTCCCTAAACTAGTTTCCACAGCTGTCATAATCTTCATGAAAGCAGACTGCATTTTTCTCCTGCAGAGTGGTTCCAAACTACCTACTTTTCACTTAGTAGCTAAGCTCCTAACACTGTGCCAACAGGGCTCCTTCATGGACAGCCATCTCCAAATGCCTAAACTTGCTGCCAAGAAAATCTAACTTACCGTATAAATCCCTGTAAAACCACATCTATTTTGTTATTTGGAGAATCACTCTCACCCCATGGTTGGGGTACACATTTGCTCTGATGGCTAGAGCACTCCAGTCAGAAAAGTTAATGGGTTTTATTTTTTTCCCAAACATAATAGTAATAATATGTTTGGTAAAAATAATTCCCAACAAAAAGTAATACAGTATAAGAAAGGCAAGTGATAGAGACATTTTGACAGAGCAGCTTCCGTGCCCAGGCAAATGAAAGGGATCCCTCCCACAGGCACAACAGCACTCACCAATAGCCCTGCGGAAATTCTCCATCAGCACTTCTGTCTTCTTGATCTCTGTGGAGTAAACTTCACTCCCCACCATTGGGCAGAAAGGGACCTTACTCCCCAGCTCCTGGGCAATAGCCAGAGCTAAAGCTGTCTACAAAAGAAAACAACGAAAATGCCTTTGAATGACAATCTTAAAAATCTGATGATTAAGAAGCATTTATAAAAGTATTTTATGGAAAAAATTGTTAGCCAAGAATCAGTGACATCTAATCCTCTTAGTTTTTAACGTTATTTGAAATGCTTTACACATAACAAATGTTGTGAATAATCAATTTATAACAAATTACATCTTTAATAATCTGTACATTTAGAATAGCTGTCATTCAACGAGACTTACCTCGGGCCAGGCCCAACTCAAGTGTTTCACATGCTCCTCATGCTCCCCCTATGAAGTTTAACTACTGCGCTCTCCATTATACAAATGCGAAAACGAAGACACACGGACCATAGCTAGTAAAAGAGTAGAGAGCTTAAATTTTGGCAGAAAGATTCTACAGATCATATTCCCATTATAATTAGTCTTCAAAAACTGTCCCCTAAATATCCACAAAGTTCATGACCTAATGCTAAGAACACTACCAGTATATCTTTTTCGTCTTCAAACTGGTTCTGACTTAATAGAGCCACTACGTACAAAAGAAGCAAACAATGCCCAGTCCTAGGTCACCCTCACAATCACTGCTATGTTTGAGCCCTATTGCAGCCACTGGATCAGGACGCCGCATGGAACACCTTCCTCTTTTTTGCATCATACTTTCCCTAGCATGATGTGCGTCTTCGGGGACTGGCCCCTTCTGGTAACATGTCCAAAGCATGTGAGAAGTCTCACCGTCCAGCCTAAGGTGCATTCTAGCTGTGCTTCTTCCAAAACAGACTTGTTTGTTCTTCCAGCAGTCCTTGGTAATTCAATATTCTTTGCTAATACTATCATTCAAACACATCAATTTTTCTTCAGTCTCCTTTATTCATTCTCCTGCTTTCATATGCATATGAAGCAACTGACAACACCATAGCTCAGGTCAGGCACACCTTAGCCGTCCAGGTAACATGTTTGCTCCATCTCACTGTAAAGAAACCTTCTGCAGTTCTGCCCAGGCCAGTATGTCTTTTTACTTCCTGACTGCTGCTTCCACGAGAGGAGCGCTGGTAGTATAGTGAGTTATGAGATAGGACAGCAGTTCGAAACCTCCAGCCACTGCACAGGAGAAAGATGAAGCTTTCTGCTTCTATAAAGAATTAGTCTTAGAAATTCAAAGGGGCAGTTGTATTGCGTCACTACTGAATCATTAGGAGTTGGAATCAAATCAATGGCAGTGAATTTGGTTTTATGGCTTCCATGAGCACTGATTGTGGATCCAAGCAAAATGAAATTCATGACTCCATTTTTTCTCCATTTCTCATGATGTTGCTTTTTTGGCCTGGTTATGAGAATTTTGTTTTATGCTGAGGTATAATCCATATTTCATCTGCAAGTGCTTCAGTAAGCAAGGTTGTGTCATCTGTATATCAACGGTTGTTAATGAGCCTTCCTCCACTTGTGATGCTGTATTCATTTTCATAGTTTAGTTTCTCAGATTACTTGCTAAACAAGACAAACTGAGTAAGAATGGTGAAGCAAGCCTGATGCACACCTCTCCTGATTTTAAACTAGGCAGTATTCCCCTGTTCAGCTTGAACGACTGCCTCTTGATTTATGGACAGGGTCCACATGAGCAAAATAAGTATTCCAGAATTCCCATTCTTCACAATATTAGCCACAGTTTGTGTTAGCATTCACATAAATCCTTTGCATAAATTTGGCAATCTCTGAGACACTGATTTTTGTTTTTATCAATACAGGAAAACACCAATGAACAACCCAAGAGAGCAATTAAAAATGAATGAATGACTTGGTTTTCCTTTTTTAAGTCGCTGACAAACAGTAAAGAATAATACATTACATAGAACTCTTAAGCTAAGCTGGTCTTAACAAGCCACAGTTGAGCATGCCCTGTAGTTAAACTACAAATTGATTTTTGCTTAGATAACTATAGTTGGCAGATGCTTAATTGAAACCAAAGACTTAACAGATGTACAGTCAAATATCAAGCATGAAGAGCAAATGCTTTAAAGTTGGGACAGGAGTAGGAAATGCCATGACCTTTTAATGCCATTTCCATCTTTAACTTTGAAACAAGGGAGTGTGAATAAGGTCAGTTCCCAAGGTGTATGGGCTAAGGAAGAAAGCAAAGGCAGGCCAGAAACAACTTGCTTCGACAGAACAACAAAGCTAAACTCTGGAGACAGTGTTTTGCTTTGAATATTTTATACAGTTTACACATAAAGCAGGAGGGTTACTCGTGCCTTCATATACGCCAAACCTGTGGTACCACAGTACTGAAAACTTCTCCTATCTCCTAGGAAGAAAATAGTGCAATATTACAAAGGGAACACGATGCTTCGATGGCCCACCAGAGCATTAGGGATCTCTATTACCAAAGACCTAGAAACGCTGCATACAATGCAAGCACTCACCCTTCAAATCATAGAGTTGTATATGTGCACACAGTGGAATACCTCAAAGCAGTGAGAACGACCAAACTACCCAACTACACGTAACACGAATAGCCCTCATACTGTTGAGGGAAAGCTGGGCACAGGATTCCATTTATATATAGCTTAAAAGTAACTAGAGTCCAAAACTAGCTAGAGTCCTAATTCAGGGCACTGGTTTCGTTGAGAGGCAGAAGTAATGGCTGGGAGTATAAATAATCTGGGTGCTGGTTCATCAAGCAATACACTCGTTTCTTTTTCTGTGTATGTGGTACTTTTTTTTTTTTCTTTTAAAAAAATCATTTTATTTGGGGCTCATACAACTGTTATCCCAATCCATACACACATCAATTGTGTAAAGCGCATTTG